CTGAGGAGCTTCGCCGGCAAAGTCTCGCCGAAGCACGCGGGACATTCGCATGCGCTGCATGGGGAGCCGACGAGGAGGAAAGCGCCTCCAATGAAGGGGGGTGGGGGAGCGCTGGCGGATTGGGAACGGCTGAGACTGGTGGTTGGGGTAACACCGGCGGAACCTGGGCAACCGCACCTGGCGCCGCACCTGGCGGCGAAACCAGCAGCTGGGGCACTTCTGCCGGAGGCTGGGAGGCTCCTGCAGTTGTTCCCCTTGGTCGCCCCCCACGCCGTGCCCAAATCGCATTACCTCCCCCTGACACTCCGTCGCATCGCGATCCTTGGGACACCATCGATTGGGGCAACAAGCCGTCGACCCCGCGTCGCACAGTCTACGGACCTGCCCCCGAACCACGTGAACCCACCTTTGTCCCTGGAACCATCCCTGGGACCAATATCCCCCTCTCTGAAATCCGCAACAGATAATTTTTGGCGCTAATGATGACCACCGCCAATGATGAAGAAGAAGCAGCAGAAGAGGCAGCAGCAGAACCTACCCCTGTACCTGACAAAGATCCCGAAGAAGCTCGCGCGCGCTACATGCGCACCTCCGGCTTTCTGGCTGACGATGCACTCTGGCACCAGCGTCTCGCACATCCTTCACGCGTGACGCTGAAAAAACTGCATCGGCGCAGGCGTCTTCGCTCCTGGAGCGCTCCTGCGCCCAGATGGCACCGAAGTGAGAGGCGCGACACATCCGCACAAATGCACCGTCTGCCTTGAAGCCGCGCTAAGCCACCAGCCGTTCCCGCTGCTCGAGCCAGGGACGAAATGTTACCCCAAGCTTCACAAGGTGTACAGTGACTTCCTAAACGTAGGGCACTGCGGAGTTGACGATGAAATGTACACGCTTACCTTCATCGCCGAAACACGCTATGTATGGGTTGTGAACGTGGAATCGCGTAGCAGAGCTTACGAGGTATTCCGCCTCTGGCAATCTGACGGTGCAGCAGAATTCAGGAGCAAGGACATGCAGGATTTCCTGGCGCAAAAGGGGATCGAGCACCACGTTTCTCTCCCCTACGCGCACCAGCAGCAGGGCGTAGCTGAGCTGACGAATCGCACCCTCATGACGAAGGTGGGCGCGCTGATGAAGCACTCGAAGTTGCCGCCGATCTATTGGACCTACGCAATTTACCACGCCGTGCGGGTGCACAGCCTGCTATCAACCACTGCCATCACCGGCAACTTGTCCTCGCATGTGAAGTGGACGGGGACCAATGGCGACACCTCCATGCTCCGCGTGTAGGGGTGCATGGTGCAATACCGCCCGCCTACGTCAACCATCGGCAAATTCGCGAGCCGCGCGCGCTGGGGCATTCACCTCGGCATCAGCCACAAGCACAAGGCGTGGATCGTGCTGGACTTACTCAGTCAGAAGACCGCCCACAATCGCGACGTCATTTTCTACGAATGCCTCTTCCTCGTGCAGCTCCACCATGACGAGCAGACAAATGCAAACCGCGTCTACGCGAACGACGGGCACAGCTATGCAACGCTCGAGGACAAAGCCGCCGCAGCAATCCTGGAGCAAGACACCAGGGGCAAGTTTGCGAGAGGTGATCCCCACAGCAGCGACGATGACAACGATTCCTCTGGAGGAGGAATGGGTGGAATAGGCAGAAGCGGCAGAGGCGCAACTCCACCAGTACCTGAGGCAGAGAGCGATGACGACGACGTACAGGAAGTCATCCCGCAGCATCGCCATGACAGCACTACCTCTGGGCTGCAGCTACTTGGGCTACACATCGCAACCTCAAAGGCGCCACGTGTCATCGAACCACGAAACCCGCGCCAAGCCCTCACTGGACCACACGGCAAGGAGTGGCCCGAGGCAATGGACGCGGAAATTAAGGTGCTCGAGTCCTGTGACACCTTGATTTAAGTCGACCGCGCAGCAATCAAAGGTGCAAGAGTCCTTCCGGGCAAGTGGGTCTTCCGTGTGAAGACTGCAGCGGACGGAATAATCGAACGATTTAAGGCACGCTGGGTGGTGCGTGGCTATGACCAGAGGCATGGCATCGACTTCGACCAGACGTTTGCTCCGGTTAGCCGCCACACCTTTGTCCGAACCTTGCTCGCCATCGCAGCCGCAAGACACCTGCCTCTCCGCCAAATCGACGTCAAGAACGCGTTCCTGTACGCGTTAGTAGATGCCGTGATCTACGTGGAGCAGCCGCATGCATACGGCGAGGGGGATTCGCGCGTATGCCAGCTGCGCAAATCCTTTTACGGGATAAAACAGGCACCAAGCCTCTGGCAGCATTATCTGAAATCAGGTTCAAGCAGATGCCTCATGATCCTGGGATGTACCGCCGCGATTTCCGCGGCGAATATATCCTATTCACTGTCTACGTCGACGACCTGCTCTACACAGGATCGAGCAAAGAACTACTGCAGCAGTTCGAGCGGAGTCTGGCAGGGCACGTTGATATCACCTTCAACTACGAGGTGAAGCAGTTTTTAGGCCTAAACATCTCCTACGCGCCAGAAGCCATTCACCTCTCAGCGGCTATGTATGCAGAGGAGCTCGGGAAGCGCTTCAACATCTCCCCTGCACCACTCTCTACTCCCTACCGAACTCCCGAACCCAACCACAAACCTGACAACAAAGGCTTATCCCCCACTTATCAGCAGCAGCTGGGATGCCTTCTCTTTGCCTCTATCAGCTGCAGGCCCGACCTCTCCTACATCGCGGGCCAACTGGCTCAGTACTCCTGCAAACCAACAGCTGAGAACCTTCTAGACCTGCAGCGCGCCTTTGCAATTTTTCATCTCAACGCCCAAGATCGGGCTGTGCCACCCAACAGTACCCACCTCATCGTTCAACCTCATCAGCTACGTGGACGCCGATCACGTAGCAGATCCTGGCAATCGACGGTCCAGGACTAGCTTCCTGTTCCGGCTCGAACCGACGGGACCAATCTCGTGGAACTCACAGAAACAGGAGCTGGTTGCCCTGTCGTCGGCCGAAGCGGAATTCATTGTAGCAACAGCTGTAGTTCGCGAAGGCCTCTATTTGCAGGAACTTCTGCAGGAGGCAAAAATTCCAGCTTCGCCCACCTTTCGCCTTCACTGTGACAACCAGAGTGCGATTCGCATCGCGAACAAACCTGGTTTCGTCAACCGAACCAAGCACATCGCGCTGCGGTATTTCTTCGTCAAGGATGAAGTGGACAAGGGCAAGGTTGACTTGGTCTACTGCCCGGCAGGTGACATGGCAGCAGACTTCCTCACGAAGCGACTGCCACGCCAACAGTACCAGCACTGCTCCGAACTCAGCGGAGTAGTCAAGCAGGTCAAGTCGAGCTACGGCCAGGAGTGAAGGGGGGTATTACGAATAGTAATGTATGAACATTACTGTGCACTCCTCACCGCTATTAAGGAAAACGCAGTAACGAGAACGAATGCGAGGAGTCAGAATTGACTCGAAACCTCAGGCGGTTGGGGTGAATCTGAACCGTCGGAGCAGACGGCATCAAGCAGATGCAGTCAGGAGGAATTCGGCGGGAGCGGTTTCGTACCTGCACGCGCCGCACGGTTGGGAATGAATTTGAATAAGGGAATATACCCCTTATAGTACATGGCTAGCTAGGTCGATTCAAATTCCCTTGTACTCATATTTATATCCTTGTACGGTATTTGCATGTTTCAAATCATCTCAAAGCATTTTACATTCACTCTGCTATTGAGGTCAAGGGCCCACCAACACTACCTAGGTGTCTGCGAACCTTCCCGAGGTGATCCTGGCTTCGATCAACTTTTGATTGCAACACGTAATAACATAATATATTATGGGTGACACATATCACCTATCCGGTCGTAAACCATAGAATATATGTATATATGTATACACATATATATTACCCATTAGGAAACGAATGCGACTAGGGAGGCATCAGCCATAAATACCAGGAAGGTCCCCTTTTTTAGGGTTGATCCTGTCAGAATATATCTGTAACTGCCTGTAGTTGTAGTTAGTGTAGTTATTATAAACTTTGTTTGGTGGTGCACCTTCTTTGTTTCCTTTGCTATATGTTCTTGCAAACCTATAGTGAAGCCACCCTTTCTCCTTTCCAACTTTCTCAACACTCTCCTCAACTCTAAACTCGATCTCTAAGAACCTAACTAAACTATGGCTCCTAAGCCCACCTATGCTTAGTATCTCAACATGGTATTCAGAGTAGGTATCGTCCTCCTGCTGCCTTCCTGCTTCCGCTGCCTATCGTCCTGCCGCGCGCCTCGGGCGCGCGGCGTAGCGCACGGCGATTTTCTGCCCGCCGTGTGCTCGGGGCGCACGGCGGGCAGAAGCCCGCCGTGCGCCCTGGGCGCGCGGCGTCTTCTGGCCCCTCGCGTGGCCTGCCCTCACGCCGCCTGCGCGCCTGCCTCACGTCCACGCGCGGGCCTGTCTTGCCCGCCCGTACCCTCCGCTTCGCGGTGCCCTGCGAGGCGCCGCTCCTGCTCGTCCCGACGCACCTGCGGGACCCGGGTGTCGCCGCTCCTGCTCGTCGCGACGCCCCTGCAAGACCCGCATGGCGTCGCCTTGCTCGTCGTGACGCCACTGCGGGACCCGCGGGGGGTCGCCACTGCTCGTCGCGGCGCCCCCTGGACGCCGCTCCTGCTCGCCGCGGCGCCCCCTGGACGCCGCTCCTGCTCGTCGCGGCGCCCTTGGGGCGTCGCCCCTACTCGTAGCGGCACCCCTTGGGCGCCGTTCCTACTCGTCGCGGCGCCCTCCCCCCTGGCCACCGCCTCTGTCTCACCTGCGCCCGCGCCAGCGTTGCAGCCGCGCGCGGGCCTACCTTGCACCAGCGCCGCCCCTGGAGCAGCCGCCCCTGGACCTCAGCAGCCGCTCCTGGACCTCAGCACCTGCCCCTGGACCCCGCGAGCTGCCCCAACAGCAGCCCACGGCGCCGACCCTACAGCTGTATGCGCCGCCGCTCCTGGACTCGGTACGGCTGCCTACCTGTGCTGCCTGTTGCTGCCTGTTGCTGCCCGTGCCTGTGCTGCCCGTTGCTGCCCGTGCCTGTGCTGCCCATTGCTGCCTGATGCTGCCCGTGCCTGTGCTGCCTGTTGCCGCCCGCTGCTTCCTGTGCCTGTGCTGCCCGTTGCCGCCCGTTGCTGCCCGTGCTTGTGCTGCCCGTTGCCGCCCGTTGCTGCCCGTGCCTGTGCTGCCCGTTGCCGCCCGTTGCTGCCCGTGCCTGTGCTGCCCGATGCCGCCCGTTGCTGCCCGTGCCTGTGCTGCCTGTTGCCGCCCGTTGCTGCCCGTGCCTGTGCTGCCTGTTGCTGCCCGTGCCTGTGCTGCCTGTTGTCGCCCGTTGCTGCCCGTGCCTGTGCTGCCCGTTGCTGCCTGTTGCTGCCCGTGCCTATGCTGCCCGTTGACGCCTGTTGCTGCGCGTGCCTGTGCTGCCTGTTGCCGCTCGTTGCTGCCCGAGCCTGTGCTGCCTGTTGCTGCCTGTTGCTACCCGTGCCTGTGCTGCCCGTTGCCGCCCGTTGCTGCCCGTGCCTGTGCTGCGTGTTGCCGCTCGTTGGTGCCCGAGCCTGTGCTGCCTGTTGCTGCCCGTTGCTGCCCGTGCCTGTGCTGCCCGTTGCCGCCCGTTGCTGCCCGTGCCTGTGCTGCCCGTTGCCGCTCTGCTGCTGTCCGCACCCTTGTGCGCTCTGGTCTGTCTGCGCCCTCGTGCGCTCTCCTGCTGCCCGCGCCCTCGTGCGCCCTGCTGCTACCCGCGCCCTCGTGCTGTTCGGCTCTGTCGCCCGTGCCCCCTGCCCCGCCCCCCCCCCCTTCTTCGTCTCCTTGCTGCGCGTGCAGCCGTGGAACGGAGGCTATGGGGGTGGCGGGTATGGGGGTGATGGGTGTGTGTGATCCCCTTCCCCTCCTCCTCCTTTCTCTCCCACTGCTGCAGCTGCCGCTGGGGGGGGGTGGGTGTGAGGGTGTGGGGGAGCTGGGGGAGAGGTGCTAGGGTTGTCAAGAAGTGTGGAAGGGGGAGTTGGAGGACTGAGGAAGGTTCCAGTAAGCAGCCGCCTTGGAGCCAGCAGCTTCACCTGCCAGCAGCCTCTCCTCATATAGTCCCTCCTCCTCACTTGCCCTCTTCTTCTGCTGCGCTTGGTGTACCCCTTCAGGGGGTGTCTCTGCATTAGCTTCTGCTGCAGGCAGTTATGGGGGAGTGTCAGAATATATCTGTAACTGCTTGTAGCTGTAGTTAGTGTAGTTATTATAAACTTTGTTTGGTGGTGCACCTTCTTTGTTTCCTTTGCTATATGTTCTTGCAAACCTATAGTGAAGCCACCCTTTCTCCTTTCCAACTTTCTCGACACTCTCCTCAACTCTAAACTCGATCTCTAAGAACCTACCGTCATCACCCGGATATAAGACAGTGTTGAATAGTAGACAGGGGTTGTCTATTATACGGGTGTCTCTTATAAACGGGGTAGCCTCATTATAAGACACCTATTTGTGTGTAGGGGCAAATGGCAAATGCATAAGGAGGATGTATCTTCTGAACGGATTTTTGTCCATTTATAAGACTGATTTTTTTTAATGTATGAGATAAGACATACATGTCTTATATCCGGGCGATGACGGTAACTAAACTATGGCTCCTAAGCCCACCTATGCTTAGTATCTCAACAGATCCATCTCAAAATTGAATCCAGGTTCCCTATGAGTTTTTGTTTTTGTTTTTGTTTTTTGTTTTTTGTTTTTTGTTGTTTTTTTTTTTTTTGCCTTAGAGTTCCCGGTAGAGTCGGCTCGCAAAACGACACGCGAGCGAAAATGCGAGCCGGTACATGTAACTAGTAACACAATTACATGAGATAAAGAAATACCCTTTGTTAATCCCTCCTCGCACAACGGTTTGGTGATTTCCGGGCCTCTCGGCCCCTGGTTGATCACCCCTCTGGCACTGTTCGGCCACTGTACGGTATGATCTTCTCCCATTATTGGGAGCATCATCTCTTGTCAAAATGTATGGGAGGCTCCTCCAAGCCCTTGTGGGAAACCGAGGTAAGCTTTCCGCGTGCGTGGGGACAGGCAGGAGTGAGCTCTGTCAGGTGCGACAGCGACGCCAGAAAAGCCCCGGCTTTTGAGGTCAAATCCATATATTTCATTTCCTTTAAGACATATGTTTTGGTTTAGAGCTCCAACCTGTGTAGTGCCGACAGCCTGTCACTGCATGTCGAGTTGTGCACAGTAGTGCTCTCAATTTCACTCGAGGAATCATCAATAAAGCTTCTTCCCAGTGTTTCGCTTACTGTACCCGCAAACATGACGGCGTGTACACCTTTGTTCTCACCTTCCTCACCAGCGGAAGTACTGGCTACAGAGTTTGGACGTAGCGGGCTGGTGCGATAACTTGGTTGCGGGCAAAGTCGCACGAGGTCACGAAACAAGCCTCGGTAGTAGAAAACCGTTTACGCTGAATAGTTGTTCGAACCGTTTGTAAAACAACAGTACCATTGAATAACGTCTGAAACCCTTACTGACCGCCTTGGGTAAAACTGTCACTGTAACGCATGTGATAGGACCTTCTCTGGTCCGTTGCGGTTACACTAGGCGTCCCGGTCAGTCTAACATATCGAGAAAGTGGGTGTACCACTTTCCCAGCTGTAAGTACTGTAGTACGCTAGTGCGGAAACTGTGAGCCTGACGTAGCTTCCGCACATCCAATCTGTACTAAGAACTTATTGGATTACGAACAAGCCTCCACAACATCACAAGCTCCCTCGAGCCGACTGAGATCTAGACACCTAGTAGTATATCAGGAGCAAGGAGTCGCAGCTTGCCATTATTTCCCTTGCGTTTGCATCAGAGTTCCATTGAGTTCCCTACCGCTTTCGCTGATGTCACACAACGGATTTGTCAAGAATCGAAATCATAGTAGCTTACCGATTTGAGGGATCATCCACCGCTTCTGGAAGTTACTACTTCTCGTTATGCCCAGTGGAGTTACCATGCATCATTCCGGATCTGTTGGTGCTGTAAATTCCGAGCGATCCCGGTTCTCCAACGTGAATCGCCGCCTGGAGGCATGGAATCGCGCGACAAGCTCGCTCAATCCCGCTTTTCAGCCGTCGTCCAATCTCAAGAATCACCCGAAAACATCGAGCATATCGGGCCGGATTCCCGCAGCACCAAGCAGCACCAACCGCCCTTACTACATCCCCCGCAGAGGGTCACTCCCTGACTTCGCAGCTGCTGTTAGGGATCCTTGGTCCCCCTCCTCCCCACTGGACCAATGTGCTACACCAAGCCCCTCTTCAGAACCCTCTCCGGTCGCTGATCCTGCGCGTGCTCTCAGAGTGTTTGAATCGGCTCAGTCGCGCCAGATCAGTCAGGCGCAGGAGCCCAATCGCTGCTTGGTGGGGAATGAGGTGTCCTGTGGGAACGCCATTTATGTCACACCGAATGGTGCAGCTGACGAGGCGAGGAGTTCTCAAGCAGCGTCTCATTGCGGACCTGATGGCAATGTGGTGGGGAAAACCGCAAGCAAGAAGAGCGAGGCCTTGCAAAAGCAGGGGAACATCGCGCACAGACGAGGGTTTTCTGTTACGACCCTTGAGAGCTCAGCGGAAACAAGGCGGGAAGACAAGGAACCCGTCAGGAGAGGCCGCAGCAGCTGTGACCTTGGGAATTGGAGGAGGGAAGAGGGCAGCTGTTTTTCCAGCAGAGAGTGTGGCTGTTTAGGAAGCGGTAGTGGTGGAAGCAACACTGTTGTTTCTCCAGTGTGTAAGATAATGGCCACGGCCCCGCCTCTGTTTGTGTGGGCTGTTAGAAGGCGGATAGAGAGGAGGCTATCGCCAGGGCTTACTTTAGTGCCAGGGCCCGTCTGACGTTAAGACCGGGTCCTGGAGCCTTGTCTGATGTTTAGACGAAAGTTTTAGCTTAGTCTTACGTTTCAGACGAATCAAAAACACTTGTCAGAGCCGTCAGACGGAATTAGATAGTTAATTTTATATGGTAGCTAGCAATTTTCCTAGCCTACGCAGTTTCTAGACTTAAAAGAATCTACCGACATCCTATTCAATTCTAAGAGGAATCACTAGCATTATGTCAAATGTTGTAGCTTGTAGTGAGGTTTGTTTTAGGGGGTACAGAAGTTAGGGTTTGTCATATGTACCCCAACCAACATCAATGGAAACACCATTCCTCATTCTGACATGGTATCAGCTAGGTTAGGATCCTGTGGGATCCCGTTCCTCCGTTCTCCGTTCGTACCTCCCGAGCCTGATCCTTCCTCTCGTTCGTACCAGTTCTGTTGTTACCGAGCCTAGCGCCCTTTCCCCCGTCACTTAGCGCCCTTTCTCCCTGTCGCCTAGCGCCCCCCCCCCCCCCGTCGCGTCGCGCCCTTTCCCCCCCCCCCGTCACGCCCTTTCCCCCCGTCGCGTCGCGCCCGTTCCCCCCGTCGCGTCGTGCCCGCCTGTTCCCCCCCCGTCCCGTTGCCCTGTCCCGTCGCGTCGCCCTACCCCGTCCCGTCGCCCTGTCCCGTCCCGTCGCCCTGTCCCGTCGCGTCGCCCTACCCCGTCGCGTCGCCCTGCCCCGTCCCGTCGCCCTGCCCCGTCGCGTCGCCCTGTCCCGTCGCGTCGCCCTGCCCCGTCGCGTCGCTCCCGCCCTTTCCCCCGTCGCGTCGCCCTGCCCTACGCCCTGGCCCGTCGCCCTGCCCTAAGCCCTGGCCCGTCGCCCTACCCTAGGCCCTGGCCCGTCGCCCTCCCTAAGTCCTGGCCCGTCGCCCTACCCTAGGCCCTGGCCCGTCGCCCTACCCTAGGCCCTGGCCCATCGCCCTACCCTAGGCCCTGGCCCGTCGCCCTCCCTACGCCCTGGCCCGTCGCCCTACCCTAGGCTCTGGCCCGTTGCCCTCCCTAAGCCCTGGCCCGTCGCCCTACCCTAGGCCCTGGCCCGTTGCCCTACCCTACGTCCTGGCCCGTCGCTCTAGCCCGCTCTTCCGCTGCGACTGAGTCCTCTTCCCCCCCGGTTGTTACTCGCCTGTTCGTTCGCTTTAGTCCTCACAATGGCGACTCCGCGAGTTCTTCGTTTCGACGCTGACGGTAGACCCCTTGACTTTTCCGTCTGGCTTCTTCGCGCTCGCCGTCTGTTAGAGAGTCAGGTCCAGGGGGGCGAGACCCTCTGGTCACACGCTACTGGTGACCTCCCTGAGCCCCCCGAGCCTACAGCTTTAGGCCCTGCTCCTGACGACGCTGCTACGGCTCGCTTTGCCCGTCAGCGCGCTGACCGGACGGCTTGGACGTCGCGTGACGCTGCGGCCTGCATCGCACTCAGCAGCCTCCTCCCTGAGTCCGAGGAGGTCCACTTTACTCAGGTTCGCACCGCTGCTGCGTACCTCACTGCGATTAAGGCCCGCTACTCTACTCCCGCTACTGTCTCTCTTGGCCGTCTTTTCCTCCCGTTCCTGTTTCCTGATCTTGCCTCGTTTGAGCGCTCTGCTGACTTGATCGCTCACCTCCGCTCGCTCGACGCTAGTTACCGCGCTGCTTGCACTGAGGCACAGCTTACACTGCTTCCTCCCCCCATGGCGATCACTGTCTATTTCATCGCCACTAGCCTCCCTGACCGCCTTGCCTCCGTTCGTGACGCGCTTCTGCTGAAGCACCCTAGTGAGCTGACTATCGAGGTCCTTGAGTCTGCACTCAAGGACGTCGAGAGCAACCTTCGTTCGGTAGCTGCCGCCTCTGGTACTGTGTCCCCCCCACTCTTCCACGGGTGCACAGTCCCGCAGTTACCCACCTTCACTGCCTCTCTTGCCACTGCCGCTACTGACGCGACTGCGGCTGCTGTTACGACTGCGTCGCGGTCCCGCGGCAGGGGGGGCAAGAAAGGTGGTTCTGGTGGAGGTGGAGGCGGAGGTAGCGGAGGTAGTGGGGGTGCTGTTGCGACTGGGGGTGGTGGGAGTGCAGCGTCTGGAGAGACCCCTCGTGCAGCGGCTGGTGACTCCACTGCACCTGCTGGTGGCGGCGACCCCCGAGCTCGTCAGTCGCCTCCTGTACTGTCGGCCCCGCTAGGTGGAGCAGCGGCGTGGTACCAGGCTCAGCGTCAGCAGCACCTTCAGCAGCAGCAGCAGCCCCTTTCCTCCCAGCAGCCTCAGCAGCAGCAGCGTCAGCAGCTGGCTCCGGGGTCGGGGCTGCGTCAGCCCCAGCGCGGTGCGGCTTACCCTCCCTGCCCCTACCAGGTTCAGACAGGTCCTCGTCGGGGCCACCCTTGTGGCCGCTTTCACCCCCCTGGTCAGTGCTTTGCTCAGCTCACTGACACTGTCCGGTTGACCTACGGGGTTGGCGGTCCTGCTCCTGACTGGCTTCCTCTGGTTCAGCGCTACGGCTCTGCTCTGTGGGGCATGTCTGCTGAGCAGTTAGTTGATCTGATTAGTGCTCCTCATGCTATGTATGCTGTTGTTGACTCTAGTGTTTCTGACTCTGTTTACTCTGGTGTTGTTAGCTTAGGTGCTAGTCTTGCTCAGTTGCCTGTTGCTAGTGTAGGTACTTGTGTAGACTCTAGACCAGCGACTACCTCAGGGGACGCTTCGCTGTCGTTCACACTGGACTCTGGAGCCTCCCACTGCTTCTTCCGGGACAGCACGACACTTACACCACTTCCTGCGCCTGTTTCTGTAGCATTGGCTGATCCCACTACGGGACCAGTCACTGCCCGTCACACTACCACTTTACCGTGTCCTGCTGCTCCCTCCGGGTCTCTCACTGGGTTTCACGTCCCCTCGTTCTCCCGGAACTTGGTGGGCGTGCGACCCCTCGTGAGTCAGCACGTGGGTGTGTGGTTTGAGCCTTCTGGAGAGACTGCGGTGTGTGTTGACGGAGACTCTTACCAACCTCTTGCTACCTTTACTGCTGAGCCGGGCTCGGGTCTCTACACTCTTCACACTGGCCCGCGTGCGCCGCAGCAGCAGCCGCAGCAGCAGCAGCAGCAGCCGCAGC